CTAGGTTCGATTTCCAGGCCCTGGCCGGACAGCGAGTTTTGGCGGCCCGAACCACTTCGCATTGGTTGCAAGAGACTCCCAAGGGTTTCGAATCTTTGGCCTGTCTGTCTCCGTATCAGTTCCAAGGCGGGGTTTATATATTTCTGCCAGCGAGAGTGCGGGATGCGATCCTTCCAGATCCACAGCACTCACAGATTGGAGAACTATCGTGGACTTTGGTTGTGTAGGATGTGTGCGGCCCAAAGGGCCAAGAGGTTTACAAACTTTCGGAGCCGTGCGAGAAACGCAACAACAGAGCAGGATGCTTCACCCTGAAGGGGCTCGATGCTGGAGACATGCCCAGAAGGGTTGCAGTCTGGCTTGATGCGGAAAGGACTTAAAGGGACCCTGCTCTCACCATCTCGCTACAGCTGGGCCGACGACTGCTGTTTGGTTCGTCGGCCGCGGCTGCCAGGAGACGGGGTGGAGTGTCTTTTCGGGTACGGCCAGCATGCCTTCAGTTCCCCCCCCCCCGCCTTGCGGGGTCCCGTGGAAAGTCACGGAAGAGGAGAGTTCTGGGGTCAGGAGGAGTTTTTCTCACTCTGGATTCTCTCCTTTTAAAGCGCGGGGAGTAAAGTCGTCGGTGCGCCGCAGGCTGTGGCGCAGGAGGAGGAGGAGTATGAGGAGGAGGAGGAAGAGGAGGAGGAGGAGGAGGAAGACAGGAGGAGGAGGAGGAGCAGGAGGAGGAGGATGAGGAATAATACTAACATGAATAATACTATTGCTACGGCCAATAATAGAACTGATAATAATGATATTAAGACTATGAATCATACTAAGACAAATAATACTCAACATACTGAGAAGATAAGAAGAACATGACACACAATAATCATACTACTAACAATAATGACTTTACTAGTACTAACCATACTAATACTGACAGGAAGAGAAGTGCGAATGAGACTACTCATATTTGGAAGAATACTAAGAATATGATTACTAACGATAAAGCGAATACTTATAATACTACGAATAACAATGATAGTTGGAATGCCAATTATACAATTCATTTAACGACTGGTACTAAGAAAGATAAACCGAGACGTGCTAATATTGCAAGAATAATACGAACACTACGATGAATCCTATTACTGATTAGGAATACTAGTTAGAGTAATCAGAGTACTAAGAAGTATACGACCAACATTATCAAGACTACTAGGGATACTACTAAGACAACTAGTACTAATACTAATCGAACTACCACTCGTAATCATACTAATACTACTAACACGCGTATTACGAACAATTAAGAAGACTTATCATACGACGAATCATGCTAACACTAATGACTTTGAATCCGAACAATAATACGAACCATACTGATACCACTAAGCACACTGTTAGTAATACCACTACTACGAACCATACTAACAACCATATTAATAGTACGACTAGGACTTTCGTAACACGAATTCGACTGCTAAGATTAATACTATGGATAATAGGAAGATGACTGATAATACTAAGCAACATAAGGAGAAAGGGGATGCTGATGATGATGCTGATGATGCTGATGATAATGCTGCTGATGCTGATGATGATGCTGATGATGATGATGCTGCTGATGATGATGACGATGATGCTGATGCTGATGCTGATGATGCTGATGATGATGATGTTGATGCTGATGATGATGATGATGATGATGATGATGATGATGATGCTGATGCTGATGCTGATGCTGCTGATGATGATGAGGAGGAGGATGAGGAGGAGGAGGAGGAAGAGGAGGAGGAGGAGGATGATGATGAGGAGGAGGAGGAGGAGGTGGGGGGAGGAGGAGGATAAGGATGATGATGATGATGATGATGATGATGATGATGATGATGATGATGAGGATGATGATGATTATGCTGATGATAATGATGATTATGCTGATGATGATGCTAATGCTGATGATGATGATGCTGA